TAGGAAACGAGACACAATTTCATCTTTCGGCATCTGAGAATGACGCTCTTCCTTTATGTGAAATTCTTGTGGTGTCATGTGATCTCTAGCGACTTTCACTTCAGCTTCTGCAACAGCTGTTTCCTGTTCTTGTTTAAGTAAGCGTAGATCCAATTCAAGTTGTGACTTCCTTTTTTCTAGAGTTAACTCATGTTTCAAATACTCTAAGCGAGTCCTTTGTCTTTCCACATTTATTTGTTTCTCAAGAAGTATGGCGGATGGACTCTGTGAAGATCCAGATACCTTGCTGCTACGACTGTTGTACTCTGTTGCCATCCTATTTGAAATATTATCCGCAGCCTCTAGCATACGAACTGCAATACCGGCTAGGAAGCGATCTACAATGCCCTTTCTCCTGACAAAGGTGTCAAAATGCCTTGACCTTTCATCTGAGCTCTCTACAGTATTTGTCCTGATAAGGAATTCCACTAATGAATCGGATGACGCCACAAGCTCCTGACGCAGACAACTAACATCATCTTGATAATGCTGAATCACTTGGGGTTCGAGTTCTGACTCCTTAGAGTTGTAGTCAAAAATTGCTGCTTCTGTGTCCTTCCATATTCGATCGAAGGCTGTAGTGAATTTCTGAAGTTTGGATTCATATAAAGAATGTCCCTTTTCCGTCAAAGTTTTTTGTCGCACAGAGTGATGAAAAATATTATCCTCTTGCTTAATACGTAACTGATTTTCATCATTTGGGTCACTCATGATTGATATATGTAAACAATGTGATATATATGTCAGATACTAAATCACAATATTAGTTTATGATATAAACACACTATTTTAACACTGTCAATATCAGCTTAATAAATGTATCAGTCATGTCACTAGGATACACACTAATTATGCAAAAAGGACTCTTGTACAGTGCACAAAAATGTAAATATAACTACCAAACATGCAACCATTACATGAATGAAACAGACACCTTACACAGTGCACTCAAACTTGCAGTCATTTGACGACGACTAAATAAATACCTATAGACTTGTCCTACTATTGCGTGATATATGCAAAATGATAAACATATATTCAAGTATGACAATATTTGACTGTAAACGGTTTTCGGACAAATAGTAAATACATATATCAACCACGCTGTTTATACACAACAGTATACACACATGAATGTTCTCCTTAAAAATGCATGGCAAATTTAAGCAACATATCAAAAAGTACTGCAGTTTAAAAGTTGTTCACAATTATTACACATAATCACGAATGTTCATGTCCATGCACAAGGAACTGTTGGTTGATCGAGGGGCCAAGGATCTGGTCAGCACACTACCCTGGAACTCCTGTTCGAGCAACCATGCATATGGAATATGGAACTGCAACATCTGGTGTAGAGTAGATGGTTATTTTACTGTTCTGCCTCAATGCTGCGTACACGGGCAGACGTTACCCTTGTCTTGCCAGGTCCAAAGTAAACAACAATAAACAGTTTTCTGTTTATTTATGACAAGACATGAAAGGGTAAAATACTGAAAATAAACAAATAAACAACACATCACAGTATGCTCATAATAATAACATCAGAATTGCTTACACATATCTGAATAAACTTACAAATATAATTTCTCATATTGACCACTTTACGAAATGATGGCACACGTTCGAATTTCCTCACCGGAAATAATGTAAACATTGCAAAACTATTATTCAAAATAATTTTAACCGCACACAGAGCATACACAATATACAAAATTACACATATAACATTACTTACACCATGGGAACACATACTCAGCTGCAATTAAATAAGACGACCGAAGTCGTGAGTAGCCATGCCATGCTGCTGAACGCATACGCAACGTTTCTCTAACGTTAGGCGCATATAAAACATAGAATCTAAAAATAGAACATAATAATCCGGAAAGTGTCAGAACAATAATTATGCTGCTCCCGCAATGACGCTTTACACAGAGTCGATAGACAATGGGTAGCAACTGTTCCTTCGCCATGCACTAGGCACTTTGAAGTGAAAGTGGCGGGTCCTTCGGATGAGACCTTAAAAACGGAGGCCCCGTGTCACGGCAGATGTTAGCACGATAAAGATCCCTCACTGCTCAATGACCCTGAGTGCCGAGTAAAGGTCAAAATTTGAAGCCCTTCACCGGTATAAAGTGACGTCTCTATATGAGAGAAAAATTCTCGAATTGGACGTAAAACAACATACAATCAATCAATCAATCAATCTTTAATGATATAATTATTTATCTACATGATTCTTTTTCCGTTAAAAGTCATTCTTCAAGTTGTTCAGATTTAATCATTCTTTAAGTTGTACATGAAATATGGAGATAACGAACATTATTCAAGCTCAAAGTCCATTTTAATACAAATCGGGAGCAGAGCAAACACGGACCTCAGAATTTAGAGGTGGGATCAGGTGCCACGGAGGAGAGAGCATCCCCTGCGACCAGGCACACCTGCCGTGTTCTCCTTATCATGATCGAGAAATAACGGAAAAATCCTTTGACAGTTCAGTGTGTAGATAATGGCCTAACAATTAGTATGAAAAAAGTCAGTCAGCATATGACTTAATGATAGATTGTATTTGCTTACAAGGACATTGTATCGACCATAGAACTTACGAAATGATGACTTTAAAACGAGACTGTTGAAATTCTAGTTTCATCAACTTGTTTGTCAATAACTAGCCTCGGTTAAGAAATTGCTCTTGCATTTCGAATCAGCTGAGAGATATACACCCCAGATGCAGGTGATAAGGGAACAGATGAAACAGATGTTTCAGACTCTGTGGTATTTTTTTTTCAAGCTAACTGGGATATATCATGTCAACATATGAATGGAAATAACTATTGTTAATTGATAATACGTCATCGATATATCTAAATATCGAGTTGAGGGCCACAGCAAGAGATTTCTTTTTCCCATGTATAAGATTTTGAATAAATTCTACTTCATATGAATACAAAAATAGGTCTGCTAACAACGGGGCGGAATTGGTACCCATGGAAATTCCAACAGATTGTTGGAAGACCTGGTCTCCAAAATCACATAGATATTGTCAATCAGAAACTCTAGCATCTTTTTAATATCAATTTCAGAGTACTTGTGTGTATAATCAGAATGTTTTTAACAAAATAATTTTGCAAATGATGAATGACAAGGTTAGTAAATTTACGAGATCCATTTTTATTGAAAAAAGCAGCTGTCGATGATGTCAAAAAGCCTGGACTTTAATTTATCGTGGTGAATGGAAGTATGCAGAGTTGAAAAGTTGTTTTTATGTCATTGATTTTGGTAAAATTTTGTGATTTCAAATTTATCAAAAGTTCCTTGTATTTTTTAAGTATCCACATCTGACTTACACCACTTCTCGAATATATTGTTGCACAGTACTCCTGAAGTTTCTCCTTCACTGCTGTTAATATTTTGTGAGGAATAAAGAAAGGGGCTTGGTAGAACATTTACTGGACACCGCTATGTATCTTTGTTTGTAAGGTTTTTTATGAAGTTTCGTAATCCAATATAAATATGGTAATTCAAATTCATTTTGGTTGTTGGAAATATTGAAGCTATGGGTGTACTATGGATTGCCACAAATTAAGCCATTTTCTCTGTAAGGCAATGACATAAATCTGTGCGTCAGCTGTAATTTTCAATGGCAAAGACGAAAGTCAACTGTTTGTTTTTGTAACATTCTGCATTGCTTACCGGTACTTAAATCTTTTAGTCATGGAGAACTAAAATAAACATATATTGGCTCCTAATATGCTAAGATACCAAAGAAGGATCTCTAAACTTTGTCTTCAAAGTAGCTTCAAATGATCCTGATCAAAAAATATTATTATATTTTCTACTGCTTATCATTTAAGGTAAACAGAATTATGTTGTCAAGGAAATCCCCATAATAAATACAAAATTAACTAGAGATGTAGTTTGACAACCCTGGTATTCCAGAGTCGGTTGTTTCAAAAGAATTACATCATTTGACGAAATCTGTTTACTGTTGTTAAATAATTGTCCCTTTTTTTATTGAAAAAAGTTATTTTGATATTGATGTCCACAAATTCTGTCCAGCACATATTTCAGAGGGCGATGTAAACCATGGGGATTTCATTTTTACTTATTTTGATAGTTTTTTGTGAAAAGATTAGAAACTTCTCCTATATCCAATTTTTTATACCATGTTATCATCAAAGAAGTCGGCAACATGCATCTTTTCTTGGCAAAAGTCAAGGTTGAGGAATTAATATTTTTCCGTTCTATTTCATGATTTGACCCAAATTTATTCCAATACAATTAATTTTGATGTTCTAGGCATATTTCTTTGAAAGAGATCTGTGGCCTGGAGTAAATAATTAAAAACAAATAAAACCCTGTCAAGAGTGAATGATTTTATGAAACATTGGTTTGTCATGATTGCTGACGTTCACATTCATAGCTACATGTAGAAATAAATTATTCATTAAATTTAACAAATTGTGTAAGATACATGTCTACTCATTCCAATTTCAATAAAGATAGGACTCGTAGTAAGTGGTTGCATGCCTATACCTGCACTAAATAGTCTAACAGTAAAGTATTGTGTACAATTTGCAAGCTCTAATACTTAAACTGTAATTTTTTTTAAAAAATAACTTAGTTTAGTAGAGGGATTTTCTTTTTAAAAATAAGGTTAGGGTAGTCTGACAACAACACATGATTCCGTGAAAATTATCCCATGTCAATTATATTGTCATCTTAGGTTATGGTTTATGATATAGCCATTTGCAAGCTTCTAGAATTATAAACATAAACTTAGAAAGGGATATTAAGTGTAATTAAAAAAAATGGTTTGAGAAGTAACTAGTCTTCATGTCATAGACCCTTATTCAATCACGTCAAATTTGTCTGATTTTTTAAAATAATTTATGACTATTGAGCATTTTTTTATCTAATAAAATGTTACAGATATGTATTAAAGCTTTATCGAAATAATGATGTCATACAGGACTTCCAACGTCCAATCTGAATCCTCCGTTTCTTGAAGTTTTACTAGAGAGACCTGTAAAATCAATGGAGTCATCATGTTCGATTAGATTTCCTGCATCTTCATGATTTACCATTCGACGATCAGTAAAGTTATTTTTAATAGTATGGCTTGTTGCCTTGGTCTGTAATTTATTATCTTTTGTGGCAGGATGATTAGCGATAATAAAACTGGTATCATGGTAAAGCTCTCGCCTTTTAAAAATGGTCAGTCCAAATTGTAGCTTGTAAAATCTCTTTCTGTCGGCCGCTCGTTGTTTAGCAATTTCATCTCGGATTGATTTGCGGTACTTAAATCGAGAATGAAAGCTTTTAATGTGTTCCCATCGTAATGCGAAGATTCCATATAAAACAGGATTGAGAGCACTATGAACCATAAAAATTATTTCCGATACTGACAATGCATACTCCAGTTTCAATTTATAATCACTGTAAATCCTTAGGAAGGATATGATGAAGTAAGGAGTCAAACATACTAGAAATCCCACGATCACAGTTAGTGTCATCTTGATGACTTTCTGTTTGGAAGCAGACACAAGGTTTGTTCGCACTGATACTCTTGGAGAAGCTTTTAATTCCTCATATGGCCCCTCGATGGAGTGTTGATGAGAACTAGCTCGTGCCCATACCACTTTTGCTATTTTATAGTAACAGAATAACATTACCATCGAGGGAACAACTAAAACATAAGTCATAAGGAAAGAAAAGTACACTTTACGTTGCCACTGTGCAGTGTAGCCGTGACTCAAGCACATTTTCACAGATTTTCCATTTTTTATTTGATTCTCCTCAACAAAAATTGCTAGCTGTGGCAGAGCAAACAAAAAAGCTAAAACCCAAGCACTGACAACTTTAGTCCATATTTTCGGTCTTTTTGCCAGGGATTGCATGGGTTTGACGATAACCTGATATCGATCAACACTCATTCCCGTCAGCAAAAAAGTGGCACTAGATAGGGTAACACACTGCAAATATACAGCAAATTTACACAGAAAAGGTCCAAGAACCCATTCATTGAAGGCGAGAAATATAATCTCGGTAGACATGGTTATAAAAGCCACCGCTAAATCTCCGATGGCCAAATTTATGATAAAAATATTGACCCGCTTTCTTCGACGAGATTTTTTATATGTCAGCAAAGCAATTAAAAGAAAATTTCCAATGAGGGTAAATATCATCACTGCCATCACTGAGGCTACACGAATGATCAACTCTCCTGTCCATCTTTGAACAGTTACGCTACTTTCTTCATCACAGTCGGAAGTCTGGTTTGCATTACCAACTAGAGCGGCAAAAGAATCATTCCAAAACTTGGTACACCTCATATTCTTAATCCAATCCGATCGTCATGTTCCTGTTTGAAAGAAAAATGGAATTTAAGAAATCACACCTTGAACTAAATTTACATGATAAAACTTCATAATATTTAGTATAAAGTGTTAAGAAAATAAAATACTGATTTTTAATTGTTCACGAAGGCCTTTTATTCAAAGAATATTCATCAACTGGACAAATATTAACTATTATAAATGAGAGATTTCAAGCGTACTGTGCTACAACATATTCTAGAAGTGTTAAATTTGAGATAATTTGTAATCACAGCTTTTTTTCAATAAAACTGGAACTCGGAAATTTTCAAATTCATATCTTAAAATTGGTCATTTACAAAGTTACTCTGTTAAAAATTATTGTGATTCTTTACGCAACTACTCTGAAGTTGAAATCAAAAAATGCTGTTCATCATCGAAAATATCTAAACAGCTGGTTAGCTAACAAAGGGGCATGGTCTCTAAAGACTACATGTAATCTTTAGAGACCGTGCCCCTTTGTTAGCTGACCTGTTTCATTATCAGCCGGATGCTCAGCGACCTGTCTGTTTGTGATTGTGTTAGAAAGTGCACATGGGGAAAAGATGTGTTTTGATAGAATAATTCCTTACTGATAGCATGCATTAAAATAATGAAAAGGTAATTTAAAAATAATTTTATATTATTTCTTAATTATTGTTTTTAATGCATTTCAATTTTTTTTGGGTCTATTTTAATAAAATATCAAATTTTTAATTTTACAAGAAAAAATGTTTACAAGAATTACTCCCAGCATGAGAGTGTATAATGTTTAAAAGCAACTTGATACGATCGCAAGTTTCTGGAAAATTACAGCATTTATAAAAATTGAGAAATATTGCTACTTAATTTTGTTTTGAATTTGCTGCAGATGCGAATGACAAAACGACAAATTTTCGATACTTTACATTTATTGTGATGTCCGTCATCACGCCTACAGAAATCATCATTTGACATAGATCCAGGGTATTAAGAGCAGTACGTGAAACGTTTGCCGCCGATTTGATGCTTTGCATCAAAATATTATCTTGTATTCTTATGAAGCAGAATGAATCTAAAATATCTGCATGAGAGGAGGAAAACTCTTGCTTTGGCCTTCAATTTAACATTTAGATATACCGATGATCGAAAATCAATTGACAATAGTTATATTCATTCATATGTCGACTTCATATGCATAAGTGAATAAAAGATTGCACAGATACTGTTATATCTGTTTCTTATTTGAATGTTTTACTGACTATAGACTATATGGCCAACTAGCAAATAATTAAACTATGCGACAAAAGTGGAGACGTTAGCTCTTCAATTTCCATTAACTTCCCTTATTGATGCAGTAATATTCCATTATTACCTGTACATGGTGTTTCTAACAAGCTCTTATCGTTTAAAGTCAGCACTTCGTAAATTCTATGATAGTTATAATGATCTTGTTTGCAAAAACATGTATAATCTATCGCTTTGTCGAATTTTGAATGAAATATTTCATATACAAGCATCACTGAAGAGACATATTTGTCAAAATGCGCATCTGGTGTATTAAAATTGGTACCGTATATAATTTACAATACATTCTTAGGGATTTGTTTCTAAACTTATTTTGACTATCTGACTAACGGCGGATGTGACAGGTCAAGAGAGGATGTTTGCTACTTCTAGGCACCTGATTCCACCTCTGATGTTTCCAGGAAGCCGTGTTTATTTCCTCTGTTCACGATTTTGCATTTTTTAACGGATTTATGAGATCGTTCATTATTCATTATCTTCATCTTTTTCATTTAACAATCCCAGTGGTTATATTTTCTTTACTTATTGAAGCCATGAAGGCATACGTTGACGATTCCCATACCGTACAATTATTAACATGTTTCTGGCTCATGTCATTAAACATTGCCAGTAAAAATACGATCCTTTATCATTTTCTTTCAAAATACTGTCAGTGTAATTGATATAGCCGGATGCAATATGTGTGTGAATTGAGGTAACAAGAAAAAAGAAAAAAAAAGAATTTGCTTCGAAGCTGTCATTTTCCGTTAGGGATGTTTAAGAGACGAGAGGCACATTCTGATAAATTCATCATCGTAAAAGACGTGAGGGTTTGTAAATGAACCTAATTAGGGAAAGATCGAGAAGATCTCGAAAGGCATGTTTAATATTGATTTAAACTTATTCTATAATGTTAAAGCTCCATAGCAAAAAATATTCCTGCTGTCATTTATCATGTTACTTGATTTGCCTGGTAGGAGTTATAAAGATTCTATCTTTTATATTTTAATTATTGCCGATCCATGTTTTAGAACTGAACAACTGTACTAATGAAATACATACACACGAATATATCTGTGATATCTTTATATGAAAACAATACATTGATCTTAAATGTAAATATACACATATACGTGTGATGAAATTACTTATGCTATATTTACATGCAGATAATGGTCTTTTGCCAGATAGTTTTTCTGAAGTTTGGCAAGTTTGACCTTTTTTGTATTGTCTGGAAAAAGAAAGGTAGTATTCACTAGTTCTAGTTATTCTAGTGAAATTCTAGTGAAAAATTGATAGTTCTTCAAGGGTGCATGATCCATGATTTTTTTAACATTGAAAGTATAAAAGAATCAGTGTACAACCAATTAACAGATTTTTAATGCAAACACATTTCTGTGTGTTTTTAATGATTACAGTATGCTGTTTTTACGAAACTTGAATATAAATGTCCTCTTATTAAAAAGACGTTAATTGGTCCGGCGCTTCGAATTTACGGTAATTCGAATTAAGAATATTCATTCCCTTACAAAAATTGCTAAGGCCACTTTAACATTGTAATATTTAGTTTACTATAGTTTAAAAGTTGGTTTACTGTGCAACTCCGGTACTGTACTTTGAAAGTATGAAACTTTGCTCTAGATTTTTTTTTTTTAGAATTAGAGCATTCATATCTCTGAAATTCTTCTCAAATGAAAATAATTTTAGAAATAATATTTTAGTGTGATTTAGAAAAAGATGTCTTTAAATTAAAAAAAATGCATTTCATATTTGGAACAAATTAAATATGAAATGAATTTCGGAAACTGGGTTAAAAGTTTTAGTTTCGAGAGAAATGGTTTAACAACACCAATTTATAAACTATGAAATTATTTGACAGTCCATTTTGTTTTCACTTTTGTTGATTTTGATTGTCTTAATTGCATTGGCAAATGTTTTGGCATCGTCATTGTTTGTTATAAATCTCTTTGCTGTAGCAGAGATTTCTTGGGATTAGGGCGTATGTATTAAAGCCCTTTCACAATACCTTATTAATTTCAATTACAGTCTAACGGAGAATTGAATAGAGCCTTACTTTCCATAATTTTAGCATCAGTATATATTAACTTTTATATGCTTTTCGTCTTCCCAATTTAAACACCAAATACTCAGCCATTTCAAATATTTTTGTTTGTTTTGTTTGTTTTGTTGTTGTTTAACGTCCCTCTCGAGAATTTTTAACTCTTATGGAGACGGCACCACTTGCCGATGGAGAGCTGCAATTTTTGACCTTTACTCGGCACTTAGGGCCATTGAGCAGTGAGGGATCTTTTTCGTGTCAGCACCTACGGCGACACGAGACCTAGGTTTATACGGTATCATTCGAGGGATTGGACCGGTCTTCACGTCCCACAGTGGGATTCGAACCCACGATCAACTCCTTACTCCGCAACACTAGAACAAACGCTCTAACCACTGCGCCATGCGGGCGACGTCATTTTAAATATATATTTTACTTACTTGTACAAGGATAGAAGAAGAAGTTTTTTAGAATAAGTTGTATGCAGACTTCAGTTGTCTTACACATGTGTGTTTTTATTCAAAGAAATAAATTTAAGATGTTAACTTACTAACAAATCCTCAAACCAGTAATGTTTTGGTAAATCCTTATATTTTCATTTATGGTACCTACTCTAGTTGGAATCCACAATAAAGTTGATAATAAGTCTTCTTCTTCTCGATTAAAAATAATTCAGGGTGGTATTAATAGTACTGGCCCCAAGAGCCCAAAATGACCATAGACTTTAGTCAAAATATTTTGAATATCTTGATTTTTATTTAACAAACATATTTAAATTTGCATCTTTTTATAATATTAAAATACAAACAAATGATGAAAATTCTGTTTTATTTTTCAAAATTATTTCAAAAGTTATACTACGTAATCTGAGATTTTAACGTGAGTCTGCTTTCAGTTCAGAGACTTGTATCATGGAGATCTTATTGTGTACTGTAATAAGACCATGCATTGATCTCTGAGTTTGATACAACTGTGTATACAAATAAGGATATATGCTTTTGGTATGCTTATAGAACAGAGAAATACTACAAATAAATATATTAAAGCAAAGTGTAATAAACCCTTTGAATATAATAAAATCGCAAATGAAAATAGGGATAAAAAATATATCAAATGAATTTCATCTTGATTCTTTTTAGTTTTAGAGAAACTTCCTTCGAAATTGGAAACTATATCTATTAGTGTGTTCATGTGAGAGACTAATAAAGCTATAATAGAATCCATATGACTAAATCAATGCTCTTTTATATAAATTACAGTAGAACACGCTAGCACAAACCTCCAGGGAAAACCTAAATATCTTCGATATATCCAAAATCCTTCATAGCCTATTCACATTTTTATCACACCCGCTCTCATATGAATATAATGAGAAAATCCAGTTTTTGCTTTGGGAAATTCCTAATATCTGTCCTATGAAAGCATAAATAAAAATGGCACTATATTAGATAGATTCTGTGAAAGTCAACAGAAAACAAACAAAAAACAAGGAAAAAAAGTACTGTATCTCATTTAAGTTATTTGACAAAGTAAGGGCCAACTAACAAAAACTGTATGACAAACGATATGACTTCAACTTTTCAATCGTCAACTTTCCTTCTATATGTAGTAATATCCCGCTATTACCTGCATATGGTGTTTACATCTCCCAACC